CCTCCCCCACTTTTCGTGTTTTGAGTCACTTTTCGCGCGTGCGAGCGACAGCTTTTCCGCTGATTTATCTATGTTGCCGATAACTTATGGATATGGAAATTTTTCCAGCTTAGAACTCTGAAAAACGAAGCCGCTGGATCAAAAATTATTGCTAAATTGTTTATAAATTAACGGTAAATGCCGATAAAGTTTGACCGCTTATATCTCGAGAACCAATAAACGGAATTTAAAAAAGAAGCGTATTTCCGTGTACTTTAAAATTATAATTTTTGAATAAAACTAAATTCCAAATTGATAAATGTAATCTAATTGTTTAAAAATAAAAAAAAAGGGTTTCAACTTTAAAAATTTACTGTGGACGTCCTAATCAACTAATTTCAATTTTCAAAATGCATTTGAAAGGTTGAGCAGTCTTTTCTATGTGAAAAAATTTTCAAGTATTTAGATACATCATTTGAGGCTGTGCAACATTTTAAATATTCGAAAATGTTTTTTCAAAAAATTATTTTGCGAAAACTATAGAACCAGTTTTATTGAAATTTGATGTGTTGTTTTATTATACTCTAAAGTTTTTACCAAAATTAGAATGCCTCCGGAGCAATTAAAATATTTTTAAAAAATTATCAAAAAAACTTGATTATTTTGCCTTTTTTTCATCAATTATTGCTAATTTGCAACATCGGTAATAAATTTAAACATTTCTAACTTCCAGTATATTGTGCAAAATCAATTCCAAAACTTTTTTCCTCCAATATTCTTCCAAAATGCATAGGTTCCAAGATATAAGTGAAAAACTCAGATAAAAAAGGTATTTTTTTAAATTGTTTAAAACATTTTCGTAATTTTGAAAATGATCCAGACTTCGCCCAGATCTAGGGATATACACTTTTATGACGCGACTTGTACTGAAGGTATTCCAGCAAAAATTAGCTTGCCCCCTCTTACATCCAATGGAGGGGGATATTTCGACAGATCCGCCCAGGTCTGGACATTCTTAAATACAAATGCCGTAATTGAAAATTTTCTGAAAAACAATTGACAGCTCATAAAAATTATTGACGCTGGAAACAAATCTGGAACGCAAATAATGCTATTTGAAATTAAAAAATGAATGTTATAGAAGGTATAGCGAAGGCTTTCTGAAAAGGGTGATTTTTACCAAAGTAACCTCAAACTTTCTTAAATTACAAAATTATCCCACAAATGCTTTACTTTTATTTTCTTATTTAGTAATAGAAGAAAAATACTCTTATTCGTATTCATTATTTTTTTTAACTACAATCTTATTAGCATGAACATGAAGATATTGACGAATATTTTATGAAGATACTGACTCCTCAACCACGTTACTGACAGTCTGATGCTTTCTGAAACAATTTTTAAATACATGAAAGGAACATTTCTTTCTGCGGAAAATAACGAAATAATTTATTTTTACAGACGTGTGTAGATACTTAACTTGACATTAGTTGTTACAAATTCTGCAACAAGTTATAAGAAACATTTTACATTTTCAATTTCTTATAAGTGGTTCAAGTGGAGATAAATTTAGACAATTTGAGTGTTATACGTATAGGTATGTACATATACAGGGTGCGTCATTATTGCGTAGAAGTACGATAACTCCTTTATTATAGAAGATATAAAAAAAGTTATTTACAAAAATTGTAGCCAACTTAAAACTGCACATTTTAAAATTATTTTTGTATATATAGAGTGTTACGTATTACCAGGGTGAACCAAACATACTATTTTTTAAATGGGACACCCTACATATTATTTCAAATTTAGATTAAGCTCATCTGTCCCATGCTTCCAATATAGGGTTTAATTATATTATACAGGGTATTTCAAAAGTTATTGTATACGAGAATCATTCCCATTTCTGCGTCCTGTATACCCTAAACAGAACAACTTAACAATAATTTTTTGCAGGCATAACTTCTTGATATTGGTACAGTTTTACGAGAAAGTGCTATTTCTTTATTATTGCAACAGTTGAATAGAGCCAAAACTCGAGCACATAATTTTCTCAATTTTTTTAAATGAATCGCCCTATATTTATTTTAAAAACTGAAAATACACTTTATGTTCTTTCATTTTTATAAAGTATTCCCTATAGCTAAAATCATTAATTTCAGAGATATTTACCATTTAATAACAAAAATAGAGTTTTAAAAAAATTCATATTATAACAAGTTGGTTAATATTATAAAAATTTTGTCTTAACAACGGATATTTTGTAATGCTTTGTAACAATTTCTCACACTGTCATTTGCCAACTTATTATAATAGGGATTTTTCCCCCTATATTCTATAATAAAGAAATAACACTTTCTCGTAAAACTGTACCAATATCAAAAAGTTATGCCTGCAAAAAATTATAGTGAAGTTGTTACGTTTAGTCTATACACGACGCTAAAATGGGAATGATTCTCGTATACAATTGACCATAACATTTGAAATACCCTGTATAATATAATTAAACCCTATATTGGAAGCATGGGAGAGATGAGCTTAATCTAAATTTGAAATAATATATAGGGTGTCCCATTTAAAAAATAGTATGTTTGGTTTGGTAATACGTAACAGCTTGTATATACGAAAATAATTTTAAAATGTGCAGTTTTTAATTGGCTACAATTTTTGTAAATAACTTTTTTTGATATCTTCTATAATGAAGGAGATATCGTACTTCGACGCATTAATGCAGCACCCTGTATGTAATTTGGTATTTCTCAAAATACAGAGTGTTCCTCAATTGACCTACCAAAGTTCGTCATACACGGAGAAAATAGGTATATTATAAGTTTACACGATTGTTACTATTGTTAGAAATATGATGTTCGTTAAACACAGTAGGTCTACGTCGAAAAGCCGCCGCCAGTCAGTTCGTTGCATCAAATTTTGGGAGAGCGAGGTCTGCCTGGATTACTTGGCCGCTAACTAATGGTTGTTTTGTTTGTGATTGCCAGTGGAAGTCTTCCAAGTTGTTTTGTGGTAGCTTGTTAAAGATACATTTGTATTCAAATATATGTTCTGTATTGGATGTTATGTTACGAAAAATCTAAATTGAAGTGATTAGTGTCATTGCTTGACACGTGAATTGAATAATTAATCTGGTATCGAACTATATCTAACTTCAGAAGTGGGATCGTGGCTCAGTTCCTTTCGCAGTAGTGTGTATCCTGAGTAGACTGGGAATGAAGAAGGTGGAGGAGTTGGTGTCCGAGCTTGTGAAGGCATTCCAGCCCCTGTTCAAGTGGATCTTCCCATCTTTCACCCGGAAACGGATGACGCAGCAAAATGGCTAGAGCAAGTGGAAAAGATAAAAATTGAATTGTCTTGGTCTGTTGTGGAAATCTTAATACGGCTGGGCCGGTTTATGATTCAAAATGCACGTAAGTGGTTTGACGAATGGAAACCTGAGGTAAGAGATTGAAATATTTTCAAAAGGGAATTTACTGACGTTTTTCCGCCCCGTCGTAATTTCGGTCGTTTGTTAAGTGAGGCAGTTAATTTTGATAGTAGTCAATGTAATACGTATGATGTTTACGTTCAT